TGCCTTCGGCTCAGGTCATGATCCTGGAGTCCCGGGATCGAGTCCCGCATCGGGCTCCCTGCTCAGCGGGGAGTCTGCTTCTCCCTCTCACCCTCTTCCCTCTCGTGCTTTCTCTCTCCCATTCTCTCTCTCTCAAATAAATAAAATCTTTAAAAAAAAAAAAAGAGGAACGGGCCTTTTCCGTGGAACATGGCAAACACACAGCCAATGGGGCTCCTGTGGAGAGGTAGGTGACTCAAAGAGAGCCCTTGGTGGCTTGCAGAGGTGACAGACCTCCACTGAGGGAGGCCCACGAGGGTGACTGGTTTGGCCACACTGGGGCTTGGAGCCTTTTCCCATCCCAGGGGCCAGGGACTATGTCACAGGTCCCCCAGAGGCCCTGACTTCAGGACACCTACAGGAACACGGACTCTTGTCTGAGCACAGCAGCAGCACTTAGCCAGCAGCTGCCGAGTAGGAGCAGACGCTGCTCCCCTGTGCTGGGGGCCTGGCCCCTCCACTCTGGCCCTCCTTGGCCGGCACAGGGGAGAAGGCAGCTGCCACCCACCCAGTGAGGCTGGCTTCACACGGGGACCTTCCTGAAGGCTGCTGGCACCGAGCTGGGGTGGGTGGGGAGACCCAGCTGGCCTGGGACAAGGGTGTGTGAGCACAGTGTATGCCTGGAGGAGAGAATGGGGGCTGCCAGCAGGACAGACTGCTGAGCCGGGTCAGCAGGAGGCAGGCCCCCTTCCTTTGGGAGCCTGCAGATCTGAGGCCCAGACACTGGCTGTGGGCAACGTGCCCGTGCTGGGAATCCATGTGCACGTGGACAGCGGGCCTCTGGTTCCACAGGCACAACCTGAAGACCCACGTGGTGCCATTCGGGGAAGTACACAGGCTGTGGGCCTGGCCCTCCAGGGGTAGGAGAGACCCACAGAGATACAAGAGCAAAGACTTGAGCTGAGCGTCCCCTCGGGGCAAACACAGCTCCCCAGGCCTGGCCCTGGCTGGTAAAAACCTGCAGGGGCAGAGGTCAGGGAATGCTGTGGGGGGCAGGTAGGGGTTCTGCTGAGGGTAGCTGGATTTCCACTTGGAGACTCTCCTGCAGCCAGCTGAGGATGAGCGGGCAGATGGCACAATCACAGGCCTTGCCAGCAGCTGGCCTGGGCTCCCCAGCCAGGGCAACCCTCCAGAAAGCCACTGGGCCACAAGCTTCCCCCGAGGTCCAGGACACTTCTGAGGGGGGGCTGCAGTGCAGTAGAGGCCTGGCCACACCCACACACATGGGATCCTCGGTCAACACCAGCTGCCATCCCATCATTTCAGGGGTCTGCGCACCCTGAGCTGAGGAGCTGTGGGAGGCCGAGGGAGCTCTTGGCACCTGTGTGCCAAGCCTGGGGGCTAGTGGGTGATGGGACTTACGTGCTAAGGACCAGTGCAGGTGGGAGGGCTGGGGACAAAGGCCTCATTCACAGAATCCACGTCCATGCAAACACCACAGACTATTTGTGCTAAAAATCTCCATTTCTAAGTCAGGCCAAAAATTAAAATGTGCAAGATGAGGAAGGGGAGCTGGCTGCGCTCAGGTTTGGAGGAAAAGGGACTAGCAGGGGTGGGCCAGTGTCAGCTTTGGACACATGGGCTGGCAGGGGTGGGGACTCCCAGAAGCAGCTGGGATGAGCTGAGTCCTGCTCACAGGAGCAGCAGGCTACCCTGTCCATCCCCAGAGGTCAATGGAGAAGCCAGACATGTGGTGGGTGAAGGGGAGGGCAGGGGACACAGACACCACAGGCCCCCGCCACCCGGTGGGAGGCAGAGACCAGGGGCCCAGGGCATGTGTTTAATCACAGCCCCTGCCAGGGGCCTGAGCCCGGCAGAGACCTGGCTTCGCCAAACCATAGCCCCCGAGAGAAGACTGTTGCAGCTTGCAGAGGAATAGAAGGACGGTGTTCAGGCTAACTACTTAGTCATGGGAGGAGGAAACTTCAGGGTGCCCCCTGGAAGTGAAGCCACAACCACTGCCTGGCACCTCCAAGGGCCTGGCTGGACACCAAGGCGCTTCACTTCCAGGGCCTGCAGGATGCCAACTCTGGGACCCCCCCACACCACAGACTCTGGTTCTCGATGTCTTCTGGTGAGAGGCTACCTGGGCAGGGCCCAGCTCTGCAGCCACCACTTGCCTGAGCAGAACAGCAACAGAACCCACCTGGCTTCTCTTCTATCTCAAGGTGGCGCGGCCAGGGTGTGGGGCTAAGGGTTAGAGACTTGGGTGGAGTCTAGAGCCTCCTGAGGAACACCAAGGTTGCCAAGTATATGACACCTACCTCCCAGCACTGCCCTGAAAGTCCACTGCTCTGGTGCAGAGCGGACCTGCATACCCCTCCCGGCAGGTCTCTTCTAGAGCCTGTGGGCTGCAGGAACATCCAAGCTAGCTCTCACCCCCTTCCTCCTGAAGCTTTTAGATGCAACACAGGCTTAGGTGATAGGACACCATGGAGAAGCAGTACTGACCCTTGCCCTCCTCTGGGGAGAGGTAGGGTCACTGCCCCTTAGGCCCCAACAGCTCAGTTGTGAGACGGAAGACAGTGAGCCAGCAAGATGCTGCAGAGTGCTACTGGCCCAGCCAAGGGACAAGCTGACGTCCACACGCAGCCAGCACCTCACCAGTTACCCAAGGGGTGCTCTTTGGTAAAAACCAGGTGGCTGGTCTGGGCCCAGATGACATCCAGCCCAGGTGGTCTGTCCACAGCAGGGTGGATCACCATGCTCCAGAGCCCTCCCCGCTATCCAGGTCCTCCTCGACCTCCTGAGCAAGACTCCAACTCCACATGCAGGCCTGGCCAATTGGTAACGCAGACTTAGCCTCCTTAGCAGCCAGGCTGGACTGTACCTACCCTGACTTGCCCAGCTGGAACCTGGCTCCCAGAGGGCTCTGCACAATGCCAGCTGCAGGCCAAGCCTCCAATGGACAGCTAAGGCAGGCCAGAGTGCCCCACGCCACATGCTAGAGCCAAGCCCCCAAGAGCCTGGGTATCCCAAGAAGCAGCTCCTGCAGAGCCCACCCAGGCTGCCAGGAAGATCCTGCTGGTAGGAGGGGCAGGGAGAGGGGCACCCCAATTCAGAACATTGTAGGGCTTCCCAGGACAGATGCTGGCTCAATCTCTAACCTACAGGTCATCAGCAGCATGACCCTGGGCTTGTTGCTTTCTTCTCGGGGCCTCACTGTCCTCAGGCACAAAAAGTGACAAAGACAGGACTGGCCTCATCATGTGCTGAAGAGATGGGGTGAGACATGTATGACAGCATGGCTCAGCCCCCAGCACATGACAGGAACAGAAGAAACACCCACCATGGCCATCACACAGCAGAGCCTGGCCAGCCCCTCACATGGCCCCCACCTGCAGAGCCTCAGAAAGGGCTCCTGGCACAAGCACGTGATTTCAGCAAAAGCTCCTCCCTCACCCCGGGAGGCCCCAGCCCCACCCAAGCCATAGCAATATCCCCCAAGCCCCTCCGCAAACAGCCCAGGAGAGGACATTCGTACCTGCCCTCTCAGGACACCACCCAACAACCTCTCCCTCTACCTGGCCACAGGCAGCCCATGTGCACCCAGGCCAGCTTCCCCCCCTGGGCTAAGGGGAAGCTGATTGTACCATCCAAACTCATGAGGAGGAGCCCTGACTCCAGGCCTTGGGCTGTAAAGGGACCTTAGAAAATACCACCCCCCAACTCCTGGAAACCAAGCCTTGGTCAATAGGCCTTTTAGGCCCTCTTTTAAGCCTGGAGTACATGGTCCCCTCAAACACTGTGGGCTCCAGGAAGGCTTGGCACCTAGGCCCATGTGAGCAGCCCACCCTCCAAAGGACAGCTAAGGGCACTAACCCCAAAACTGCTGCTCAGCCCAGCTGGAAGTCCCTCTCACCATGCTCAACAGGGCTGCAGGGCACCCCATGTCCCTGATGTTTGGCCTGAGATCTCCTCAACTCCTTTATTCAAGGGAACTAAGAAGAGATCTCACCGTGTCCAAGGAATGCAGCTTTACAGCCAGGACTCTAACACTCCACTGGGTTTTGGGTCTGAAGTCCTGGACCAACAGCTCCCGATATCACACCTCAAGAGTTAGGACTCGGGTGGGAACCAGTCATTCCCATAACCAGGTTCTTGTTCAGAATGTAGATACTCCGGATTGAAAGGCAACTCAAATGACCAGTAACCACCACAAAAAAAATACAGGTTCTCATGTAGCCAGAGTTCAGAAACTTTCTCCTCTCTACGCTCTTGTTTTGGAGCTCTATTCTGCCACCTTTCTTACCTCAAACCATGAGCCAGGAGCTAGGGAAGACGATCCCAGGCCAGCTGGGTGGGCAGCCTCATGGGGGATTCCCTAAACATCACTTTGAACAGAGCCTGCAGTACCAGGCATGCTGACAACAACTGGGGGCTCCCCAAGGCCTGCGACCACACTGGCTGGGGCCTGGGCAAAGATGGGCCCACCTCTGCTTCCTAGGCCTTTTACCAATATGACTGCCGATCACGTAACCAGTTTCCCCTGCCAGGGCCTGAGCCGAGTCCTGGTGGAGACAGGAGACCTTAGGGGTGAGAGGCACAGCAAGACATACCCAGCCCTCCCACAGGGCAGAAACTGGCAGGTGCCCCAGTCAAGTGAGGACAAGCGTCCTGTTGCAGGGA